GTACCAGAACTTGTTTGGGAGGATAAAAACACTGACTTGAACATCGGCTGGCCCCGCAAGTCATTGTATAGGCCACATCGCATTCAAACGCCACTACGAATGTACAAATGGAAGTAGAATGCGTGCCGCATCCCAAAAAGGGATTGATCAACGGCAAATGCTTTATCCTTTTATCCTTTATGGAGGAAGCCGAAGGCTTTGAAAATCGGTGCGACCTTAACCTTCTGTTCCAGCAGATAACGTGCTCGAGTGAACTTATGGTTGGAAACCCGCGACAGTGAGTTACTTTGGTGGTGGAAGTTAACACATTCACGACGACGCCCCTTTTCCACTTTTCGGTCGCGTGGGACGGACGCGATTTTGTGGGCGCCGCCGCCTCACCATAACCGCAGATTTTGTTTTGTAAATGAACAAAAACATGAATGTCACAAAATAATTTCTGCAATGTCCAATGCGTAAAGATTATCTAAACATATAACAGTAGGATTTCGATCAGAACGACAAATAGTGGTTACGAAAAGAGAGCATTTATTCACTTTCCCCGTGAAGGAATTTAAAAGCATTTTACACTCGATTACGAGGTTTGCCCACCTATCTGTCCATTCCTAGCGCCTGGCAAGCGATTATCAGTTGGCAGCCCATATGGGCTGCCATCGGCGTGAATGTGTTAAGGAACAGGGCTGTTGTCAACCACCGCGTGAGAGTCCAAACACACTGTTTTGTGCTTTTCTGAACTAAAAATTTTGAAGGAAAGACGGAATCAGAATTGCTATGTAGTGTGCTTGTGTGAGAATGCTCAGACAAGACTACAAAACGCTAAAACAGAAGTCTCGTTTGGGGAATTTGAGAAGTTTTTGCAATGCCATGCTTGACCCTGCTTCTTATACAGTTCCTTTAGATGGCCATTAAACCCTGTTGGCTAGGCTGATGTGCTGACCAATGCATAACAGCTTTGATAAAGTGAAATAGTGGAGGATCAAAATAAGGCTGAACAGTTACAATGAATGTGCTCATGGAGGCTACTACGTGTTTATTGACAAGCTGACCTCTTTGCCTACGCATAACAACTACTGATGGGAACCCGGATACTCCATCGTGGACCGGTTTCCAACGTAGACATGTAACTTTTGATTGCCCATGACTCATCCGATTTGTGTTTGACCGGAGCTCTCAACCAATTTGCATGAT